ATTTATATCAGTCTTTCTTATTTTTACTTTAACATAGGTGCAACCTATAGGTTGAAATGTATGTTTGGTTTATTTTAATAAAAAATTAAACCTAAAAAATAAAGTGCACTCAAATAAAATTGTGTTTTGTTTACCAAACCTCAACTAATACACAAAATCAAGGCTACTCCTTTTTTGGGGTATCAAACATTCAGTCATTGCCATAATGGCCCTAGCTTTTAAACATAACAATCTTTATACGTTTGTAACCAGATCATGACCAGATCTGATTTTTGTGCTGCCCTCGTACTGTTAAAAAAAGGGTAACATCTTCTGTCAGTGTAAAATATATATATATATATATATATATAAATATTATATATTCACAAAATTCACGGTTCGGTACGTTTTCGATGCAGCAAAAAGAAAGAAATGCCAGAGAAATATCCTTGATGTAATTTTTTATATTTTTTAATAAAACTAACATCATAAAGTATGATATTTTATTTTACTTTGAGCAATGATGGAGTAATAATTGACTTTTCTTAGGAGCATATAAAACTCATATAAACTCATATACTCATATAAAAACAGCTCATTGGACAAAATGAAATGTAATATTGTAGTAGTTATAAACAAAGGTTTATTTTAATTCAGATTAACATTTCAGGGCAGCAATTGTATTCATAATGTCAAAATAAAACCGACATAATGTTACTTGAAAGCAATATAGCCTACTATTCCTGCCAAACTTCCATGACCATGGTAACAGTTAGTGTTACTACAGTAAACCCATGGTGAATGTTGCTGATCTGTGGACACAGATTAGTTCATTCATGGCACAATGTTTTTCCTGGTTTCCACGTTAGCGCGGTTTGATCCGTTAATAACAGAGAAATGTGAATGTTTCTCACTAGATCTTGCAGCGATGTTCTTACTTCAGTGGCGAATTCAAATGCTTTCTATACTGGATTTCGCTGTGTAACAGTCCTGATGATCAAGATCGGCTCGCGCTGTATTGGTCCAAACTAATAAACGGTCCGGTCAACCACACAATAACGAGTAGCTTAGTTTCATTCCACTTACAGTACATTTGCCATTTGATGTTGGGCAAAGTTGTGGTCACGCCAGTGTCCCTTACATTATGAGCGTGCTTGCCACGCGCAATGCGCCTACATTTGAAATAACGAAATTTTTGTCGACATGAAAAATGGTCCAACGATTCAATACGATTCCAAACGGTTCAATACGAATACGTGTATCGTTACACCCCTAACATATGCAATGGGCTTTATGCCCAGCTGCACTACTTCCTGAACTTCAGCCAGCTCCTTGTTTCCTGTCTGCCATTATTGGTCAAATTGATTAATTCAGGTGTGCTTGACCTCAGTAGTCATGGCAACAATAATCAGACACACCTGAATTAATCAATTTGGCCAATAATGGCAGACAGGAAACAAGGAGCTAGCTGAAGTTCAGGAAGTAGTGCAGCTGGGCATAAAGCCAATTTATGCCATAAGTCACGTGAGCTATGTGACACCAAGGGTCTGTTCATACTTTGCATGTTTGGTTCGAATAAAACAAACCCTGGTGGGATTGCTCTGTTAGTGTGGTTTAAACCTGAGTGTGAACGCTGCCATTCGAACCCTGATGCGCACCAAACAAGTGGACAGAGACTGCTGAAAAGATGGGTCTCAGATCCACACAGCAATTTTTTGGATGTTTGGTCAATTCCATCCCGAAATATAGACTGTGAACGTATCAGGTTGTGAAGTATACCATTTAGGTTCCGTGTTAAAAATTTCAATATGAACGCTAAGCGCACCAGGACTAGATGGTTTTTTTTTGGTCCGGACCAAACAAACCAAGCGAACTGAACTACAAGTGTGAACACACCCCAAGCCACTTCTGACAGTAAACTATGAAAGGTTTTCACACTTTCCTGTGTTTTTTATCGTACAAAACGAGCTGACTGTTCAACGCATTCTCACCCCAAGGCGTCACCTTTGACCATGCTTCAATATTTGACGTTTTAGGCGCCCTTTAGCGTCACTTACATGACGCGATCCTACGGCGTCATCTAACTGACGCTAAAGGAAAGCGTCAGTTAAAGGATGCGGTTAGGTTTAGGTGTGGGGTGGGGGTAGGGTACACGCGATCCTAGGGCGTCATCTTACTGATGCTAAAGGGCGCCTAAAGCGTCAGATATTGAAGCAGTCAGTTAAGTGACGCCTTGGGGGTGAGAATGGGCTGGACTGTTTCAGCCATTTTGCTTTCGATCCAGCAGCTGCAACAGCGTAGCTGTGTGAACTGAGACAGGCTGGAAATGGATCCCTCTGTGGCAAATCAGGTCGAGGGTCTGCTTCACGGGCTCTGGTGAGAACGAACACTGTCTCCAGAGGCCGAATGTCAACATCAGAAGCCAAGGGTTGCCATTTGTGTCAGATTAACACATTCAATCATGTAAAACACATTCAGCCCCAACACCTGTGGAGCGCTAAGACCTAGATTAGCTGAGCTGCCCCCTGCTCTGGGTCACTCCTTCTCAGAGTTTCAAAGGCTTGTAACACAGATACAGAGAGCACTGGACTCTCGCTTTCCCACCTCCTGCATGAAGGCTCCCACAGGGCGTGCAATGAAAAGCACAGAAATGTGATCCTGAAGAACAGCTTTGGGTCAGCAAAGTGAAAACTTTCAAGCCTACAAAGTCCATTCACTGAACCAATTGATACATTAACACTGTCTAAAATGTAAAAGCTACTTTTAAAAAAAAATTATTTGTATTTATTTGTTTGACCATTTCTTATATTCAGACTATGGGCTTTGCAAAATATCAGACAACACTGGTAAATGTTTATCTTAAACAATATTACTACTACAGATACATTATTGAAGTTAAGAGCTATATTTTAGTATCGTGAACCATGTTTCAAGTGTAGCAGTTTCGACTAGTACTTAAATAAATTTACTGTTCTGTTAACACTGTAAATGTAAAAAAACAGCCCAGGCTCATACATACCAGGTGACTTTTTAGATAGTGTTAAAAGCAAATGAGATAAAAATGCATGTGCTGAAGCAATAATGCCATTTTATTAAGTTTACCACATCAGAAAAGTTGTACATTTGGAGCTGCAATGTGATGCAAACATCAAAATGGAGTTTCTTGAGGTCATAACATAGTATTGTGTAAGACAGCACAAAAATAATTCTTTATCAATCTATAATCTGCCCCTAAAATCATTATAAATCACCTTAAGGAGTTTGACATGTGGCCTAGTTAGGAGACCCACTGTCCTGCAAAGGTTATTCCCAACCTGCTTCAACAGACTTGCATGTAGTTTTTTTTTCAAGCCATCATGAAGACCTTCAATAGCTGGATCAGGTGTGTTTGATCAAGGTTGGAGCTGAACTCCAACTGCAGGTCAGTAGCTTCGTCCCAATTCAGAGGCTGCATCCTTTAAAGGGCCACATTCGAAGGCCAATTGCATCACAGACGCAAGACGAAAGCTGTCCAAATTCGAAGGCTTTTACAAATGCGGCCTCGAAATGCGGCCTTCGTTTTCCGGGCAATGAAGGATTCAACAGTTGGGTCCTTTGCGGCCTAGCCAACGGTGACAACAGGATTTTATTTTTTTTAGAAAAATTGCTGTTTTATACTTTTAAATGCAAGAATTTAGTTTCAAATTACTCAAATATTTAACAATACAAAAATAAAAACGTTAACATTTACTAAGATGCGATTTAATATAGTTTATCATCTTTATTATGCACATAACTTGATCAGGTTGTGAACCCTGTTTTGTTTTCAAGACAGTTAAATATAACTTTTTAAAAAGCCCAGTATTAATGGCAATTGTCACAGATGCTAGGCGACAAGAACAATTCCCCGTAGGCTAGACCGTCCCATTTAACAACGCTCGATTTGACCTTTGTGGACTTCAAATTTGTGGCCTTTGAAGGATGCAGCCGCTGAATTAGGATACAGCAAGTGGGTCCCCAAGAGCAGGGTTAAAGACTTAATTTCACTGGTCTATGACATTTAACTCATAACGTTAACAAAGGTTTCTTCACTTAATCAAAATGACATTTTTAATGAGCACCCAGTTTCAGCACTCTGGACAGCTCTCTTAGGTTGACCCTGCAGACACCCTGTCCTAGGGGTGAGACAGTCCTCAGGGACATCTTTTATGTGAAACAATAGAGTACAGTAATTGAGAAATAAATAAATAAAGCTTTATGTTATTCTCAAATGACATTCTGATTCCTTTTATCGTTTCTTTATATCAGTGGTTGTCAACTCTAGTTTCAGGTGAGGTGTCCCACTTCTCTGCATGTCTCTCTTATCTGATCTACTAAAAAGCTGATGATCTGAATCAGGTGTGTTAAATAAAAGAGACTCTGCAAAATGTGCAGAGCGGTGGGGCACCAGGACCGGAGTTGAGAACAACACCAGTCTACAGTGTCTATAATTGAATATCATACGAAGTACCAATTTCTTCAATAAAAATGGGGTAATGATAAACTGTGCTGAATTGTTGAATAAGCTGTAAATTGGTATTTTGTGTTTCAATTTGCTATTAAAATGCTGGATAAGATCACAGAGATTGGCAAATTAAAGTCATTCTTAGTTTAAAATATTTTAACAATTTATCAAAAATGATGCAATGTTTCAGTCAAGCGTAGGCTACAATTGATACAGTGGCAGAACGTCATTAAATCTTGCTTCCAAATCATGTCTAATGCATTCCCGATGGCAACAGTCACTAACTGGAATACTAGAGTGTAAATATTTAGTGAATAAAAACCAAAATGGAAGAACACAGTACATTTACCTATTACAATAGCATCTATGTTGCAGTTTTTGTATGCCTGCATTCACTAAACCCTTTATAAAAATCATTCTTGTCTTTTTCCAGCCCCACCAGTTTAATCGCTCTGTCCCCTCTTGTTCCCCTTCCTGGTAAACTCAATCACTCTTTCTCTGTGTGTTCCTTGTCCTCCACCCCTCTTTATGCCCATAGGCTGGCACCGAGTCTGATGACTTTTCCCAGAAGATTCAGTGAAGACATAGAGAGAGGGGGCAGAAAGAGAGCCTTCTTGTCCAATAAGAGAAAAGGGGACTTGAAGAATGTGAAAAGCTCCCATTCAGGCCAGTTCAGAGGGGCTGGGAGCGGCCACATCCTCAGGAGGGAGGAGGGGTTGCTGCTTTCGGGAGGGTGGGCTAGGGATCCTGGACAGGGGCCAGGAGCGATGCAAAGGCTCCTCAGATGACGCTGGTCCGTGGGAGCGTCCAGTGTCTCCGCCTCTCCCCTGTCCCTTAGGATATTGACTCCGGACCCTCACGTTCTATTTACTCGCACAAACAAACCCTCCCCGAAGAGAACCAGTAGGCTGCAGCGTGAGGAATGTGTCTCTATTAATAGAGCGGTTAGATTATCTCAAAGACTAATGACTGGCATGTCCAGATTCCTGAAAGGCACAGCAGTGACATACTCTCATCCACCACTCCTCATTCATTGGCAATGATCTCATTTCCTCTGATATTTTATGAATTTAACTTGTGGACCGTTCACTTTTAAAAAAAATGTTGTACTTACATAGCTTTATCATTAATGAGAATCAGTGGGAAAAAGGGAAGTAAAGCAAAATAACTGAAATAAAAAAAAAACTCAAATGCAAAATAAAAATATAGATGCACATAATGAGAAATATCCAGGCTGAGCTGAGATATTTAATACATTAACTTTGGCAGCCCTAAAAGCTCAACTAAAATAAATAATGAGTTTGCAAGTAAATAACGCAAAGATCGAAACGTGATATTCAGGTATGCTTGGGTCAAGAATTCTTTGCTATGAAGTCATGACCAGATCTCTCCACCACAGCCTGAGCTTCAGGGAGTGTAAACATCCTACACTCTCAGCTGGAGCCCAGCCCGTGGCCGGGAGTGGGATGTTTGCGCTCTCTGGCTCAGGAACGCCACTGCTCTCGACGGCTCCACTGTGGAGGGGAAAAGCTTGTTCAGAAAGTTCTTAAAATGTTCTCTTTTTTTAATGAGCATCTATCTTTCTATCCTCTATCTATTATGAAAGGTGCACGGCCCTGATCATTCGAAACGTATTTACATTGTGTGCATACTTTATGTAACGTATGTGGATAGATGTTGAAGTAGATATGGGAGCTTTGTAACGCACACAGGAAGTGAACTCCATTGTGAGCATTGTAAGGGCTCTTGAGGGTGAGTAGCCTGTCATTAAGACATTGAAGCTGAACTTTAGGTCTCTTTGAAGCTTTCTGACCCCTCTGTCCGACTGCAAGTGCCTCCACCCAGACAGAGCTGCCGATGGAATTGCCTGAGAGGAAGTAACTATTTATACCCATGAAGGAACAGAGAGAGGCACCCTTCCGATGGGCGTCTCTTCTCTTACTTCCTTTGACAAAAATGTTAGGACTGCTCTCATGAAAGCTAAACCCAACTCCGAAGATATGCACAACATCCAACTCCGAAGATATGCACAACATCCAGTGCTGTCAGTGCTAACCATGTTTTGGTTACCATTCTCTTGTACTGCAATGACCTTTGTCCACTTTTACTTGATGTCAAATTAAGCATGTCCCATTTAGGGCCACTAGGTGGCAGGCTAACTCCATAAAATCCCTAATGCTAATGTTGTGCTTGGAAAGATAAAAAAATAGAAATAATTTTGCTAACATTTTTAGAATTTTTAAAATATCTTTCCAAGTATCTGTGGAAATCACTTTTGATGGTTATGTTGGAAATGATGGCAAGTACAAAGTGAAAAGAGTTCAGTGACATTTTTGAACTCATTCACCCCACTGCGCATTTTCCTGCTCTAGTCAATCCGAGCGAGTAAAAACGGTAGGAAATGTTAAAACCAACTGACACCCTCTGATCAAGCTCTTCCTGTCAACTGGAGGAGTCAAAACAAGTGAAGTATGACAACAAGGACATCATTCATTTTTAGTTTTACTTGTTCCCTTCCTGTCATGCTCTTTGAACTGAATTCACTAAGATCCTTATGATGCCAGAGCTTTTTTTCCATCTAACTGCAATAGAGCTATTGAATTTACAGCAAGTTCCTTTCAAATGTTTCAAACAATAATCTCGCCCCATGGTGGCACAGCAATGGGAAGTTGAAGCATGCTACAGTATTTGGAATATGTTATAGGCCTAAAGTAAAAACAACATTGTCAGCAATGAATGCACTTCACTGTTGTTCCTTGTTTAATAAAGAGCTGACTGTTTGACTCTGACTTTTTTGTTATTGTTGTGGCCTTATGATCAGTATTCGTCCTCCTCAGCTAAATGTTTCCTCATTAACGTAACATTACGACAGTCAGTCGAAACCCCGTATTTGGTTTTTGTATGTATAGTTATACTTAGTTTCGGGGGATGTGAACATTCTTAACCACACAAGGAACTGAAACATTTCAGTGTGTTCTGAGTTTATTTTCTCAAAGGACTACACATTAGCAACTGTGACAAAAGAAGCGACTGTAAAGTTAAATAAAAATACAAAAAACTTTTCAATATACAGTTTGCATATTGTACAGTATGGAACTATCCAGCTCATTTGACCTTGTGAGATGTCAAAATGTTCATAACACAAATTTACCTTATTTTCCCTGAAATACACCGTTTAATAAAAAAAAAAAAAAAAATTTAAATAGGAAACTCCAAATCCGCAAACAAACATAAATAATATATACATTAACATTTAAATATTACCGTTGAAAAGTTTGGGGTCACTGGGATTTGTTTTGGTGTTTTTTGTGTAATTTGATTCAGTAAATGTGTGCGACAGTAAAAACATCTACAGTATAAAATTACAAAAGATTTCTATTTCAAATAAATGCTGTTCTTCAAAGAAAAATCAGTGTCCACATGAATATTAAGCAGCAAGTTATCACATTAAGTGTTTTCAAGTTTGAAAATAATAAGAGATCTAGCCTAACTTATGCATCAAATTATTAGAATGATTTCTGAAGGACCATGTGACTGAAGACTGAGTGATACTGAAAATTCAGCTTTTCCATCACAGTAGTAAATTACATTTTTTAAAATATATTCAAATAGAAATATTATTTTAAAATATAATAAAATAGTACTGTTTCACTTTTCACTGTATTTTTGATCAAATAAACAGCCTTTGTGAGCATAAAGACACACTTTAACACACTGTGAAAAATGCTTGAATGCTTGAGTGTTTCAACCCACATCTGGGTCAAATATGGACAAACCCAGCCATTGGGTGTAAAATGTTATTTAAAAAAAAACGAACCAACTGTTGGTTTGTCCATATTTGACCCAAACATGTGCAACATTAAACGTATCTTACTGACCCAAATGTTTGAACTGTGTATTGGCAGGGGTCAATGCACAAACCTTGGTGTAAAAAAGGCCAAGGGAATTAACCAAGATGTAAGTAAGTGTTTACTGGCAAAGTGTGACTCATTTTTACACACTCGGTGTATTAAGCTTGCATGGGAACAGCTGTGTAATGGCTGGATAATATCCTGGACAAAGGCATTAATGCTCTTTGTCATTTCATGGCTGAGAGAAGGTCATCTGAAGCCACATGGCTGCTAACAGTGAAGAATTGAGTTGACATAACTGGCCGTTTCATTACACGCACTGCTATGAGTCGTGTCAACACTTCGTCTTTACAGAAAATATACGTTTCTGGGGTTTCAGTTACCCTTATCCCAATGGAAAATCAAAGTGAAAACACAAACAGTTTGATACATGTCGTATGACAGTGTGCAAAGTAATTGAGCTTTTGGTAAAACATACATAAGCGTCACACCCATTCATAACCCTTTAGATTATCAGTGAGTTTGAATAGAATTTTTGAATAAATGAATCTTTCATTATTAAATTGCACATTTATATACTGTATATGAAGAGTTCAGATGCAAAAGCCTCTAAATGCCATTTGAAATTTTCATCTTTAATGATGATTTTTATCAAACTTGTATATTTAAGTTCAGTAATTTCACTTAAATAACAATTAATAGGTAATTATCATTGCCATTTAAGTGAAATTACTGAACTTAAATATACAAGTTTGATAAAAATCACCATTAAAGAAGAAAATTTCAAATGGCATTTAGAGGCTTTTGCATCTGAAGTCTTCATATATAAATGTCAAATTAAAACACTGTACATTTTATTTAAAAATTAATTAGGTAAGGTTGTGAACCCAGGTGCTAAAAAAACGGTATCACAAGACTATAATTTACAGGTCTGGGTTTCAGAAGTTCAGTTTCCGTGAAGCTGACAGAAAGAAAGAGAAACACTCTAAAAGGAGAAGTCACTCCTATTTGTCAGCTGGACAAAATTCAAATAGTGTGGAACGGACAGTCCCTAGACTTGTGTAAAAACCCATCTGCGCTATATGACACTACCAACCCTGCAACGTGCAACCTCAGTCGTAATGGACTGGACAGGCTTATAAACCAGTAGGCATGACAAATAAACCCTGATAGCTGGAAGCATGAATGCATATTCATGATCATGGTTTTAATAAAGTATGTTTAGTTGAGAATATAATTTCACAATAAAATATACCAGGGAGGAAAACAGTTAAGTATCATTTCTGAAAGAGATGTTGGCAAAACATGTTTATCTAGCTGTTCAGTGGAGCTCAGAAGATAGACTCAAGGTCAAATTTTCAACATGATATCAGTCGAGAGAGAAAGAGAGAGATGATGATGATAGAGTTGCTGGAAGAGGTGAGGTAAACAGCTGCTTATACTCTTATCATTGCGGTCAGCAGGATTAAATGAACATTGCTCCTTTAATTCCCCATGAAACCACAATTTTGTGGGTTGAACTGAAGTCTGTTAACTATGAAAAAGTATTAATGTGTCAGTCAGATAATCTGACACATACTCTGAGCAAATATAAACCACAAAGAGACTAGACTATACCCATCTTATTCCGTTCAAATGTTTGGGGTCTCTTTGCTCACCAAGATGGACATTATTTGAGCAATAAAATACAGTAAAACAGTAATATTGTAAAATATAATAAATATAAATATAAATATTTAATTTTTATTTATGTAATTTATTCCTGTGATGCAAAGCTGAATTTTAAGCATCATTCTTCATTGTTCCGTTTAATGTGCTGATTTGCTGCTCAAGAAACATTTCCAATTATTACCAATGGTGAAATTAGTTATGCTGCTTAATATTTTTGTGGAAACCATCATACCATTTTAGATTCTTTGATGAACAGAAAGTTAAAAAAAGAACAGCATTTATTTTTTATCCAATCAAATTCTCTCTAGAATGTTCCCTCCCCTTAATTACACTGAATACCAAATAGTAAATCAAGGTTTGTTGAAAATCAAGGTTTGTGTCTGTCTGGAGTTGCACTGAATTAAATGAAAAGGTAACAAGCACTCTAAATTGTGCGGCGCTATGCTGCCCATTGTCAACAGGAAATATAGTATGTTTACTTTCTATTTTAAACAAAAAAATACAGCATACAGTAAATAATGCGTAGTATTCAGCAAGTAATAAGCTAGAATTTCACTAAAAAGGTGTAATGACTGCTGGGATATAACAGTTGCTTGGGCCATGTGTACAGTAGTGCTCTGCATCATTCAGTAGGCCTCATCTAAACATACTGATCCATTTATGCCTGACCTGTGGTTGATGCCAGTTTTTCTGTGTTGTATGTTCATGGTATGAAGCTTTAAAGCTTCTAATTGAATGACACTATACAGCACAGCAAACGAGATACATGCAAACACACACGAACTAGAGCAGTGAGTCATGGGAAGTATCCACTCTCCAACGCACAACCCCTCCACCTCATTCTGTCACTCCTGATCAGTACGGCCACGCTGCCTTCCACTCAGCACATTTAACACAGAGCAACACAGTGCAACACAGTGGGGTCAAACAGTGTTTAACTATAACTGCTAACTGATGCATATTGAGTTAGTAAAACAAACAAAATTAAGACCATGTTTGTTAATACAGTATGTTATTGTCTTGAGTTGTCTATTTTATAATATGTTGCCTATTTTGCTGCAATTAGATCCTTCACTCTCCTCTTCCCTGCCACTGCATAACAAATATTTCGAAAATTACGATTAATTTCCTCTCACAACACAGACATCTCGTTAATTTCACTTGTAGCTATTCAGAGCCCTACTGTGTGGGTTCGAATTACAAAGTGGCTTTCGGGGGAGCCCTATTTTCCGATCCTCCCTGACCCTGACTGACTTTAACGCTTTTGGTGCATGTTCGGGCATTTAAAACAATAGGTTTACCGTAAACCTATTGTTTACTTAGTAAACCGTTTACTTCAAAACGCAAGTGTCAGTCAGTGTTGTCAAGCTCTGTCCACACCGATTCTGAATCAACCGCGCTTAGGCCTACATCATGCAAATCGTAATAAAAACAGAATAACTCACATAACAATCATAAAAAAAATACTTCAATATTAAATAGGATTAGGGCCAATCCTCACAAACGCACAGATCAAGTAAGTAATTCCATGATTCTTACCTTTTGTAAATCCAAATTGACTGAGGTTGGGCTGCTTTCTTTTTGACATTTTTATTAGTATCCACAGAGTGTTCCAAAAAACGATTAGTATGTTTTGAACTTGAAGCTAAGCTAACATTCAAATAAGTTACCAACTCAGTGAGAAGTTCAAGTGACGTAAACGTAGTAATTTCAGTGCAGCACCGCCACGCATGGATGGTCACAGCAGGAGCATTGCATTTATTAGTAGAGACAGACAGATGTTCGGAAATAGTAATGTAATGAGCGAATAAACACTGACACATTTCTGATATCATATAATGCGACACAAAAGTTTTAGAGCTCCCCTAAATGTCTCAAAGTAGGGGAGCCCAGGTCCTTTTCAGGGGAGCCGAGCTCCCCTTAGCTCCCTTTAGCTCCCCCGTAATTCGAACACTAACAAAATATATTTTAAGATGAGCAAAAAAAAAAGAAAGAAAAATATTTATTTTAAAAACATATACTGACAACAGACTTTATATTTTTTGTATGTGTCCGTAGTTGAAAAGATCACCCATATACCATTGCTGAAGGATTACCATACACATACCATCATATTAATATGACGCTCACAATATTTCACAATATTTCCATGGTACATGTCTCTAAAACACGGCAAATATCATACTTTATTGTTTGCGATAGAACATGAGCATGTTCAACCAACTAGCAAAGAAAACCACAGGAGAAGCGCACCAGGAGAGGCTCGCCAGGTTTGTGTCTGACAACTCTTTGACTGAAGAGCTGGCAGGTAAAGTCACACTCACAGGTGTACGTCAGGAAAACCGCTCCCACACACTGACAGTTTGACAAGCAACAGCAAGGCTCAAACTGATTACAGCAAACATGGTCTCCTTAAGCCCACACGGGACCAGGCTGCCTGAACAGACCATATGGTAGGCCTTCCGCTCTTCTGTGATTTTAACTGTATTCCCTGACTTAAAAATCCTCTCAACCCAGCGATATGGATTATGGGATGGGACAGAGTGATATTCAACATGTCCTCTGTCAAAGACACGACACACTGAGCTGCTTTATCTTAAGCTGAGAGAAATTAAATGTTTTGAAATGACATTAGAAAGCGATGACTTAAGGTTGGTCGGTTGCTATTGCAAAACAAGTCCAAAAAGGGACCCAAAAGCTGTCCCGTATCATCCGGAGGTTCATTTTATGGCCAGAAAAGCATTTTACTCTGCTAATCACACTGGTTCTTAACAAATAAATAAATACAAATATTTCAAATTATATTACGCTAGTTTTAATTATATATTATATACTATACATGTAATTATAAATGATATTAACACAGTGTAGTTTAATAAACAAAGGGTGAATTAATGTGTTACTGTATGTCTGTGGTTTGATTTATTTATTCAGCATTTTTTATCACAAAGAACTGTTTTTTATGTGCATTTATCTTTTTAAAGTGCATAATTGAAAAGTCATAATAATAACATTTCCCATTTCTCCTCTGACAACTGGTTGCAAAACAAGGTTGCAAAACATCACAATTCAGTAACCACATTTACACGCTCACACACAAACAATTTGTCAAAGATCTGCACTTTATTATACAGTAGGCATATAAACGTCACACTTCCTTTGATAACAAATTATCACTTCCCAACAGTTAAAACACTTATAGTGCCTTACATTAGGCCAGTCAAACTGTTTCCAACAATTATGGCACAAGAAACACTAAAATGTGAATTCAACAGTCTTTTAGAGCAAGATGGACAAAGAGAAGATGGCTATTTGTTTCCAAGTCACCAGCTACGTCTGAAACTGAAGTCTCGTTGCTTGACTTAAAGGCAATGTTTTTGTATAAAAGTAGCCTGTCTCCTAAAAAAAAAACTGGTTTCAGACTGGCTTCCAAAGCACTAGAACTTCACAACTAAAAATCAAGAACAAATTCAAGTGAACTTTAGAGATAAGCAAGCAAATATTTAATACTTATTTCTTAGTAGAAGTTGAAAAAGACATTTCTGAACAAATTTACTTCTTTCTATCTCCTCATCAGATGACTTTTTCTTTTCACCAACTGCCATACCACATGCATTTCGGCATTCAAAAAATGACCAGATGAAGGCATATTTTAGTCACAAGCGTTATCTGTCCATTTGGAATGAGACTCTCACACATTCACAGAGATGGGGTTTAATGAACCCCAGGGTACGAACTGGGTTAGACGGCAAACAGAAAAGTGAGCTCAATCCAAATATTGACTGAGGGAAAGAGGCTGCGAGAAAAACAGGAAGAGGACAGAGAGTCTTCATCGTTTAATGAAAAAGAAAGGAAGATGAACTTCAGCCATTGTTATGGAAGAAATGTGTCTTTTCTGAAAATGTTCACTTCTTTTTTTGTGTGTGCCGGTAGAACAGATTCACACACACACACAAAATGTAGCTATTTGTATTCTATGTGGATAGTGACCATCATAGCCCTGCCCCTGATTGTCCACACATTAACACTGATGAGAGAAAGGCAGCATACACTCTCACACAGAGAATACAGTAAGTAATTATGCTCCCTCACTTGGAGTAGTTTTAAGTTAGGATATGGACTAAATGAAAAAGCAACGTTTTTGCTTTATAACATTACACTACCATTATCTTTCAAAACTTTAATTTAATTTGTAGCTGACATCAAAAACCTGTTTTTGAGAAAATGATGTCTAAAGATTCCACAGTTTCTGTCAGAATTAGTAAGTTCATTATTATAATTTAGACAAAAACAGGCTAAGTTAAAATATAAAGTGTATTTATAATAGTGTGCAGTGCATATATAAACTATAATTTTACTGTTCCAGCTAGCTCGCAATGGCCACTGAAAGGCTTTCCTGAGGTAAATGTAACGTTACCATGTTCGCAAGCTGTTTTATTGGTGTGTTTCCACTGTTGAGACTCTTCTTCACCAGTTACGAGAGAAATTATACATTTGTTGTAGGCTACTTTATTTTTAAATAGACCTTCGGAAGTCCATTCATGTTTATTTTGTGCTTTAACTAGTAGTAGGAAAAGAAGATCGGTTAACGCGCGCGCTCTGTCACACCATGATCGAAACAGGGCAGATCAGAGCAATGGGCGTGCAGAAAAGGTGAGTTGTTACAACAAAAAATTACACCTACCCTGTGGGTGCCAACCTTGTTTACAGTACTTTAAGGCCTCCTTTAAGCCTACTTTAAGTCTGATGCCCACTACCGATCCTCACAAACTTCTTCAAATACACTTCTTCAGAAAGCATCCATTATAAAACACTCACAGTACATTCATTTTACAACTACGCGAATATATTTAAATTGTGTTCATGCAGACCTTTTACAACGCCCATTACTCCAACCTGCGATCTGTCACACCACGTTCATTTAATGCCGTCAAAACGGAATTTATCTGTTCAAGTTTCATAAAAAATGTACATAATTTGATAGATACTTTGCTTAATCAAAAAACATCGAATTCAAGTTCATTTTGCGTAGCCTATCGTTTTTTCACACACGGCACACTACTTCAGACTCAAAATGACTCAAAAGCGCGACACATGCTGTAACCAACGGAAGAAGAGGCACTTTATATTGCAAGATGTTTTCGAGAAAACTGGATTAAAGTCTCACACGTACCTAGAAAAACATGGAAGATCAATTACCTGAAAATTCCTGCAAGTATATTCACACTGACTACACATTATTATGATCTGTTGCAAGGAGCTACGAGTATCCATAACAAGAAACCTTAGCAAGCTCTAAACTCAAAAAAGACACGTCTGTCTAAGAGTCGGCCTTATGATTAGCAAAAAAAGCCTATTATTATTAAGCCTATAATATTCTCTCTCAGGGGAAGACTGAATACACAAAAAGTGCAATTTTTCACACACAATGTGCTCAGTAGCACTTATATATATATATATATATATATTCACTAACACTTATAATATGTGTGCTAAGAACTCTCCAGAGGGCTGCAAGTAAGAATTACAGCAGATAAATTCATCCGCTTACACTTTGAAAAGTATTCAGAGTTAAGAAGAAACACTTTGTATAAAAAAAAGAAGTCAAACAGTCAAGTTGTTCACAAAACAAGTCTCTAAAAGGCAATAGTATGGAATAATATTGCTGTGCCATTCCTTTGCCTAACTTTGAAGCTCAGCTTAGGCATTCCCAGAATCCTTCACTTTCTATTCTTACAGAGGAATGGTCTCAATGTATTCTTCTAGATCTACCCTCCCCCTGCACTCCTGCAGGACGACCTTGGACCCTTTTGCTGTTTTCCACTCTCCATTCTTCCTCTTGTCCATGTCCTCCACCTCCCTCTCAAAATGATTTCTGGCCTCCCTAGGTGACCTGGCTTTGCCCGCACTCCTCTCCACCGCCTCGTTTTTTCCCACTCTTGTCCCTGCGGATCCAGAGGCCGGAATGCGTTTCTTCCTGGGTGGCCCCCAGATGAAGTTCTCGGGCGGTTGGTAGTGGCGCTGGGCGAAGCGAAGCAGGGCGCGTCTCTGAGCGTGGTGCCGCAGTGTGTAGACAAAGTATTCCAGTGCACTGTGACGCATGTTGGGTAATGTGCCCTCCACCAGTGCCTCCTCCAAAAGCAGACGCACCAGGGGCAGCTTGAAGCTTTCAAAGCCCAGCTCACCAAGGCTTTTCAGAATGCGAGTGATACGCAAGTAGTTGTGCTGTGACCTGGAAAGACAAGAGGTCATAGTACAAAAACTACATTTAACTTAATGTTCAACATTTTCAATAAAGCAATGTTGGTTGTTGACAAAAGAGAACATTTTATGACATTTTGTTTTTGGTCATTGGAGTTTGTCAGGAATAGTGGAAAAGGGTCCAAGCATATTAAGGGGTCATTCACACAGAATGAAACCATTGCTCTCATGTTTTGCTTCTTTTGCAGTCAAGTCATTATTTTTGTTTGTTTTTTCGCACAAAAAGTATTCTCATCGCTTGATAAACTTATACTTGAGCCACTGTTGTCACATGGAATATTTTAACATTTTCTTCATTGACTTTCTGGGCCATCAAGTTTCATTCCCTTAGGCAGCCTATGTAGCAGTGATCCACCTCTCAAATTTAATCAAAAATGTCTTCATTTGTGTTCCGAAGATGAACAAAGGTCTTACAGGTTTGGTACAGCATGGGGGTGGGTTATTAATGACTTAATTTTCATTTTTGGGTGAACTAACCCTTTAATACAAAATAATAAAATATACCATATTAATAAAAAATATACCAAATATTTACTTATGTGACCTAGTTTTAAGTATTAAAAACACTCCATATTATATACACTTAACAAATTAATTAATAGGACACAGTACCAATTAACTTTGGGACCCTGAAATTTATTTGACATGACTTAAGTTGTTTTGGCTAATCTATGGTTACACTGTAGACTTTGGTTTGACTTTTTTATTGTCCCTTTAACATGTTCTGTTGACTAAGTAACATTGCACCTACTGTAAATGTCTACTAACTCTCATTAAAGTGTTAGTAGAGTATTAATAGACTGGTAGGGATAGGGTTAGAATTAGTTAACGTACTTGCAAAGTTAAATACAGTATAGTTAGTAGGTTGTCTATTGGAGAACCATCACAATAAAGAGTTAGCGGATATTAAGCAGGGAGTCTACTAATACTCTAATAAAGTTAATTGACATCTAGTTGTAAAGTACAGGCAGATTTTTAACTCGTTTGAAGTATAAACAATATTAAAATAAAATAAAACATCTGACAGTGCATTATATCCAAAAACAATTACATTTAAATTACATTACTGGAAAACAGGCCTTAATATCATATGCAGTGCTCTTTCTCAAGAAAACTGATCTGAAATGGATTTTCTCCTTATATATATTAAGGGGTCATTTTTGTCCAGTGTAAGATATTAAACTCAGCGTTCTCAAAATGATAGCTTTGGTACAGGCCCATTCACACTGTAATATGTGTCCTCTATGGCACAGTCCTGGGGCAATGACACACAGACAGATACGCACAGTCATCTACTGTATGTCTACCACTCAGCGAGCTGCACTGCGGATTTTCTTTCGCTCCCTCCTTGCTTATCATGTGTTCAAACTCATTTTCAACTCTCCTTACCAACTGTCTCTACATTTCTTTCCCTGCTCACATTCACCATCTCTCTAAATGTAAAAGTTTTTGTATCCTATTCAGTTCCTCTCTATGCGTCTGACCCATTTCTAGGGCCCATGCATGAGATGGTCACATGACGGTAAAGTCAGGGTCATGACCAAAATTGTGTTTCAGGGATTGGAGACTATGCCGTTTCACACATACTCCGTTTGCAGTGCGTGTTGCGGTGCGCATACGGTACAGGAGCAGCTCGCGCTAATAGTGCTTTCACATATGCTGCGTTTGCAGTGGCATAACGGGCATAAGGATACTAATTCCCTGGACTGAAGCACGCTAAATATGTCAGGAGACATGAGACTAAGATTAGGGAATGTAAAGAGAACTGGTGCAAGTGGAGTAGAACATAAAGTTCAGAGGAAAGGAATTATAGAGTAAAAAAGGACATAAAAAAAGGAAACCGAAAAGACAACTCACTCATTCAGGTGCTGGAAGCGATCCTGCCAGTTTGGGGCCCGAGCCACATTCCCATTTTTATCCAGGAGTTTGATTCCAAAGAAATCCAACATGATCGTATATGCTAGGAGGAAGCGTCTCTTGGCTTCTCGAGTGCTTTGGAATTCCTGTTGACATCAAAAAGTCACTTTGTAAAAGGTTATCTGCACAACGACAGCAGCAGGTTATTTAAGGGCAAATAAAAAAAGAGGTGAGATGATGACACTAAAACACAACGTGCCACTGCCTGAGACCTATTTTTAGATGTTCTGACACCTTTGACTAGATGATAACACACTATTAAAAATAAAGGTTCCAATTAGAACTGAAGGATTTTACAGCTTGATATATTAGGATACATATATGAAAAAACGTTTTATTTTCTAGTTGTTTATTCTATGTACAAAAACTTTGAAGTACTTAAAAAAAAATATATATATATATATATATATTCTTACAAAGAAGAAAGTTATTTAATAAGAAGAACCACTGAAGTATATGTCTTGACTGTTCTTTCAGATCTTGAAAAGAGGGGTTTGACTTAGGAAACATACCTTTATCTCATCCTGAGTGAGTTCTTGAGCATAAAAATTCAGGCCCTGTTCTCTGAGTGGGAAGAGCCTGTAACAGCAGTCAAGAAACAGGTTAGGATCTACCTCAAAATTAATAATTATTTCACGAGTTTCTTTGCCCATATAGTCTTTAAGCTAATAAGGTTAATTGTATTCGGCTTGCTGTCCACAGTAGAGGGGCTCAAAGAAGCAGCTTCAACTCGAGCTTAGATGTATCCCCCTGTGGGAATACTAATGCTTGGATGATGAGTATTGTAGCAAGATGCCTAAATTATATTGGTGGAGTTGGGGAGGTGGAGGGATGCCAAAACAGCTGATGCCAGAGCAAGGTGAGCGGCTGCTTAAATGCTGAGACTGCATGAGAAATTAATTGAAAGATTAGATGGGTTCACTCCTCCCGAAATTACGTTGTGAACTTCACTTATCAATTACAGAAACAACTGACAACATTGGACAATAACTATCTGCAAACATTTTAGGTAGCCTATTAAAGAAAAACATTTTGATTAATTCTGAGTAAGTAAAAGAAGTATATTAAATATATACTGTATGCATTTATCCATGGAGACTTACATTTCATTGAAGATGTACGTTTTACCCTGGGAATTGAACCCATGACCTTGACGTTGCTAGCGCTACGCTTTACTGTTTGAACTACAGGAATATAGTAATTTGCTAGAATTTCATTGTATTAGCCTACATCATATATTAACTTTATATCAACCATACAAATTTCCCTGGATACCAGTATTGGCACTTGACAAACCCATATCAAGGAAAAAGAAAAAGGACACACAAACACACAGAGACAGAGACAGACACACAAAGGATAAATTTCTCTCTGTCAGCAGTTTGATCCAGCAGTTTGAACGCCCACCACACACCAGTTTATTGGTGGAGAGGTATTATTATTTATTATTAAGATATTATTTCCAAAAAAGAGCCTACCCACGAATACCAAAATCTAGAAGCGACTTCTTTTAAAAAAAACAAGGTCAAATGGGCAGATAATAAGTCCTCTCATCTTTATTTACTTAAAGAACAAAATGCTAGCAACCTGACTGCTTGCACTCACTCACCGTTTATGTGTTTTTACATTCGCTAATTGATATTATGCAAATAGCCCTGCAAGCATACAGAGTGTGAAAAATTAGTAGGGGGAATGAGAGAAGCTAATCACTTTTTCCTCGGCAGGAGGGAGTGCCGAGGTACGATTGGCAGCATAAGCGCGAAGCCTGATTTTAGAACCTTGTTGTTATTTCACGCGGGCTCGGGGCATCATGTCCTCCCCCTCTTCCTCACCCGCAAAGCACAGACAAGAACGAGCAGGAGCTTCAGCTATGAAAGTGTGTGAGATGTAACAACACCCAGCTGAGAGCTTTACAAGAGCACACGACGTACTGTAGAACCACAGTTCAACCTTCATACGGCCTTCAAAGTTAGCTGAAAATCACTTTATGAGCAAATAGGACGACTCAAAGGCATGAAACTAAAAAGCAAATGACATGATGTCAATTTGAAGGCTAATTTAAGCAGTTTTTTGACTGATTAGAATAAGGTCAGTGGTTAACTTTACTTGAATCCATAACATACATTTATACCTCAAGTGTGAATACTGAACTTGTTATGTGCTTTGAAAATGTTGCTAATATCAGCAGTTGATCAAGAACAAGCTTGTGGTAACTTCAATCTTTATTTAGCAAAAAATACATTTTAAGCCCATATTGATTTAAAAATGTACAATAGTCATGTTGAAAAGTCTGATATGGGCAAAAGAAAGCAATTTGTATTGTTTTTGACAGAAGCATAAGGCGAATGCAGGTCCTACAAAATTCATACATTAGACCTGCAACTGCAGTTTGAATAAGATTCATTTCCTCTTTTTCCTCAATGATATAAGCATCATCGAAATCCACAAGAGATGTTGGGTATTTTTCTGATACCAACAGCTTTAAAAGACAAATATGAAATATGCATTTTCATGTCTCGATCATAGACTGTAAAAAATAGGTCTTGATACATCCAAAGCTGTGATGCACCCAAGCAGCTGGATGCTTTTTCACTAAAGTGCTTGCAAGATGTTTAATTAATCATGCTTGATTTAATCTCAAATTCTTAGAAAAGCTTACATACATTCCTTCCTATAATGTGGGTTGCACTTTTCTTCTGCCATTAAGATTAAACCTTTATCGTTTGCCTCTTCAATGTTAGGAAAACGGACCATTTAATCGGAAAATGCCTTCAAGTCATAGACATTTCCCAAAGATTCTTCAGTTACTAAAGAGATGATGTCAGCCAAAGCGGTCCATGAATATTTAAGCAACGTTAAACATTTAAAAATCTTTTTATCCAGTGTAGTCCTAAGGCCATCCTTTGTTGCCAAAGAGGATGTGTTACTGACCCCTTGACCTGCAGATACCACAATTGTGCTGATGTCTTTATCACTGCCTTTGCCCGCTTTCATGCTTTTGTTTGCTTTTGCCTTGATCTACAGGATTTGCTTCTAAAGATGAAGTCCATTTTTAACAGATGGTAAAGAAAAACATATCTAATCCCCCCTCCAAAAATCCCTCAAGCATATATCAGTGTGTAACTTTCTCTATTCTTTCAACGAGCAATAATAATAATTTAATAATAAGTGTCTGGCCAATGACAATTTGTGAAGACTAGTAATAATTAAGCCTTATTGAGCAATTACTGACTATACACTTTATTACTCGTTAAGAAGTTTGAATATTGATGAAATGTCTTACCACTGAATGTATGTATGATTGTGCTCTAGTTTTTCATAGTCTCCCCTCCATTTAGTAAGGATTTCTTCAATATAAATACCTGGGGGGACAAAGAGAAAAATAATAAATCATCACAATGGGCCAAGCTCAGAATAAGTAACTTAAAACTCTAATAAAGAGACTATTCACCCAAAAATGACAATTCTGCCAAACAAATTTCTTCATTTCTTCCATGAAAATCAAAGGTCAAACTGTGAATAATGTCCTGGTAATTCTTTTTCATGCAGACAGTCTCGAAAAGAATCCAAAAGCGCCATTGAATATCTTATCTTTAGTCCATAAGGGTTTTTTTTTTTTACAATAAGCATACCAAAATTTAAGTCGTTATTGATTTGTCTTCTCTTCCAACAAGCTCTTAACTTGACAATTACAGGAACCTTGATCATTTTGTAGTTGTAGTGAAATTTGTGAACAAATCATTTAGATCTATTTTATGAACCTTGAGAAAAATGATTTATTCTAGTGTCAGACATCACTTATTCTTCTAATGAACACATTAACATGGTAATGAGAAAATTCTGTCATAATTTACTCACCACTTGTTCCAAACCTGCTTGACTTTCTTTCTTCTGTGGAACACAAAAGGAGGAATATGACTATTGTATGGAGAAAAAAACCTTTTGACATATCAACATATCTTCTTTTAATGTTCCACAGAAATAAAGGAAGTCAAAGCTTATATCAGCTTGTTTTTATGACAAGAGGGTGAGTAAATGATGACATAATTTTCATTTTTGGGTGAACTTTCACTTTAAGAAGACACACAGGACTGTGTGTTGTTTCAGAGTGGAAATAGATGTGTAGGTCATCTGTGACATGGAAACACTGAAATCTCTGGGGGACACAGAGAACAGCGTGTGTGTGTGTGTGTGTGTGTTTCTCCATAAACAGCAGTGAAGCAGTTGCTGCCATTAAATGCTTGCACAACAGATTCAGTTAATTCTCAAACATGCCCACAATAACCAATCAATGGCTCCTCTGAGATGTCTTCACTGTCTGCCAGCCTAAAGTGGCCCTGAGGGAAAACATTCAACTAATGAAGCACTCCAGAACCCATGTGCTTCCTTCACACCAGCTGGCATGTGTATTCAGTTGTAAAAACTGCTTTATGTTTGTCTAGGTAAAAATGTAGTATGTATTTTCATGTCTTTTGTAATATTCTTGTGTTGGCAGGCAAAATATTGTAGGTGGGACTGACTGGCCTTTAGCAAAATCTCTTTTTAGACGGACACATTTAATCCACAGCAATTTTAAGAACAGATCCAGTGTAATATGGAGGTTAAAGCAATAGTTCAACCAAAAATTTCAATTCAGTCACTATTTACTCACCCAGATCTCATGTTATTCAAAACCATGGCTACAGAAAACAGAAGGATACGCTTTTCTGTAATGTAAATAATGCAGGTCACATGCTGACCACGGCTAAGAAGATCCAATACAACAGTATTAAAGTATGAAAACAGTTGTTGTTTTTCTTCTTCAATTTCAGCTGTTTTTCATTAATCAGCCAATCCAGCAAGATCTGTCTTTGAGCTGAACAAATGATTCGGAATAGTTTTGTGAACCACATAAACCAATTAATTGATAAGATATTATTCGAAATAATTATTCAATCTCATAACAGACATCTGTAGGTACTGTAAAAATGTAAAACTTTCATTAGTATTTGACAAATTTGGAACAAATAAATAATGAGTTGTATGAATGAATTTAAATTTTCTGGCCAAACTATTCCTTGAAGTGTTATAATAATCATGGGTAAGGACTCTCTGGAATAACCTTCCTGAAATTGTTCGAAGCTCTGACTCGCTGTCCCAGTTTAAAAATAGTTTAAAGACGCATCTCTTTAGCCAAGAATTCGCATAATGCTTACCTTTTATACTACTGTTGAATCAGATCGAATGGATTAATATTATGAATAGCAGTTATGCTAATTACGGTATTTCTCATCTGCTTTTCTGCTGTTATTAGGTAAATAGCGTTCATCAGCTCCAGTTTGTATCAAATCTCTCACAGAGACTTCAGACGCAACACTTGGGAAGAGATGACTAAACGCCTGTGAAGAGATGACTCGACACCTGTGTTATGCCCTAAATTAATACATGATACCTGTATCTTTTCTATGTACATTTCTGAAATGCACTTTTTGTAAAGTTGCTGTATTGTGAAAATACATTTGAATTGAATTGAATTGAATTGAATCAAAGATCGTTTGTGTGAATCATGGTTTGAATCTTGCTGAATTACCAGCTCAGATCATTATTTCCACCAATGTTTCTTTTCCTGAACTGGCTGCTTGTTATTACTATAACACAATTTACCCAAGTAACAATTAAGGCACAGTCTCATTATGAGAATCATGGGACTTCCAGAGAGGAAGTTCCTTTAATATTATGGTGGTTTAAAAACAATAAAGCATATTTGAATAAAGGAAACAGACTTGCTCTTGTGAAAAGAAAATCCCTCCACTATGGTACAATTCAGTGCACATTTAGAGCACATCACTCCCGATGTAAAATGAACACATATGAAGGAATTTTAAGAAACATACCACGATATTGCCAAAAGGACACCCTGCCAAATCACTGAATTCAGGTGTTCCAACCACTTTTATGGCCACAGTTGTATATAATCTTATTAAAATCTTATTAATCATATTAAACCCTACAGATTAAGAGTGGAATGCCATTAAAGTTTATGTGCATGTAAAGGCAGACGTCCCAAAACTTTTGGCAATACAGTGTAAGTGATGGCCTGCTTTTCAGTCCAGATCCCACTGTACAGTCTTATCCTTCTTTCATTAAACATATAATCAAACACACACTCACCGTCCGGCACCAGGGGGATCTTATTCAGATAGAATCTCAGATTGCGATATTCATTCGGCTGACGAGGCTCCTTGTAGTTCTGAGCAACAAAATCCCAGAATAAAACCATTGACAAAAGGATAAAGAGAGAGTGAGAGAGCAAAAAAAAAACAAAAACAATTGAACATCTAGTCTGAACTATTTTTTCTTATGACCATAAGGCAATGTTTACTGGAAACTTTCATATTCAAAGATGATCGGCCTCTGAGCTCTGCATGAGAAATCTAAAGAGAGTAGATGTAACTCTTTACCGGATAACTGTGACGATACTTGTACAAGTCCTTTGCGGCATAAAAACTCCTCTTCATCCTAGTGGAAGACTCCATTATGTCACCAAACTGTGTTAGAGGAAGAGAGCGAGAGGAATGGAATGGTTACATAGGCAGTGAAAGAGAGTATGAATGACTTCACTCATCAGCATCTGAGCTACATTGTCACTGCTCTTCCACTGGGATGCAAATGCTTCTAGACGGGAGAGAGGAGCTCCATTTTGTAGACTACTGTATGTACTTTTTCCTAACTAATTCATGACCATTTTTAGCTCTCAGCCTCTTGTAATGTTCAAACACTGAACATCTTTACGGCTGAGTGAAAGCGCTGCACAGAAGGCTTGCACTCTACACACAACATGAAGCTGTTTGCTTGTTGGGACCAATGACATACTGAAAGGCCTGTGAAGCTTATTAATTAATAACATTATATTCAATTACATAAACGCTTTATATTATGGTCTTTGATGCAGGGTTTTAAAAAAAACTATTACGGTGTGTGTGAAAAGCTGTTATCAAAATCTTAGTTTCAAATGAATAAAAATCCAATTTCCTTCTTCTGCTGACAGCAAATTCAAGAGAGCAAATTTCCCTTGAGGAAATAGGTCACATTGAACAGGTCACAGTCTAGGTGGCCTTAAAATCCAGAAATCTTGAGAGAACATCAGCCATTTAAAACAAATTACTTCTAAGGGCAAAGATTTTACCCACCCATCACCCATTACCTATACCCATCAGGAATTGATTGGATCATTTGATCGTTTTGGTTTGCTAATGCTGTGATCATGCCATGTGAGTGACAGGTTGTTCTGCCTTGTGCTATAGTAAGCACTTCATCAGAGAAGAGATGTTGGTGCAAGAGGGAGTTATTTTGAGTAAAGATTAAAGAAAATGCATTTTATTTGTAATTTTAAAAAATATTAAATTAATATTGTGCATGGAAAAATCATAACAAATAAGAATGATCCATTTTGATTTCATGGCGACTTCAAGTTTTCTTTTTTTTAGAAGAAGAAGAAAATTACAAGGGGTCACCACTGTAGGCTACCCCTTGATATAGTAACTGTTTTGGTCAAATTTGATTACTAGCCTACATTTGACTAAATTAAATAGGCATAAATAGACCATGCTGAAAGGACAAAAGTAAAAGGTCATAATTGGTTCTTCAAATATAGGTCAAATTTTGGGACACTTTTAAAATAGTAATTATTAATATAATGTTCTTTTAATATTGTTTTTTAATATTAATATTATAATGTTCGTGTTAATATTAGCATAATTACCAATGTCACAAAGCCAACGTCTGATTACTCAAATTAAGAGGTCCTACAGGGACAATGACACGACATATCCTACATCTGTTCGCAATTTAGCCAATATTTTACTCAAAGGTACAATTTTCAGTGTAGTTGTGCTCTTTACGGCAGCATGTCCAATTTTATAATAATTATAATGTTATGGTAATAGGTTGACAAACCAATTATTAGGCTACTCCACACTGCCATACGCTTGCAATTCCTACAGATACGACTAATGACCGTTTTCAGTGGTTATCCATTTCTTTTGTTATCTTTTAGTGCTCGTGAATGATGAGAAGCACCTGCGGTGGTCCGTGATCCTGCTGTTCGGCTCCTCTGGCGGCATCCGCCAGGCTCACAGACTCGGAGATACCGCTGTCCTCCTCCTCTCCTCCCGGCTGATGCTCGTCGCTCTCCGAGTCCGTTTCCCACGTCGAGTCGCATTCTTCCACTGTGCTCGGCTCCTTATATCTCCAGCTGCCCGTCAGATTGCCCATTTAAACCCTGTCCTCCGTGCCTACATAGTTAAAAGTCCTCTTACGGCACAGGATCGAGCTTTAATATGATGTAAAGCTGCCGTTCGGGTTGCTTTTATGTGACTAATGGGGGGATTTCCAGCGCTCTGATGAGAACACACCCCCTTCTGCCCAGAGATCAGCACGAGATGATGATGATGAGGAAGAAGATGATGTGCTCGCAGGATTTAAGTTGTAACAATAGGCTACATCAATAAGGATCGATACATCGACCAAAACACTAACGATATACAGTACAATGTATCGTTGCAACGTGTAAAACAAATTGATAAGGTAAGGTGTAAGATGTCCAACCCTGATGATGTTCATACTGACTGTTTTTGAAAATACTTTTTTTTTTACTCTAAATACATTTATTTGTGTTATTAGAAGGTAATTTGCATTACCATCAAAAAAGTAATGTGATTACAATGTATGTAACTTGTAATGCATTGCTTTACACGTTACACCAAAAAAGTAATCTGATTATGCACATTACTTTTAATGCATTACTTTACTCGCAGAAACTCTCAGAAAGTAATCTGATTACCATACCAATAATTTGATTGATTGGTTTGTTAAATACACACAATATTGCAGTGTTATTACTATATTGTTTAATACTGCATGCTGAAAATTTCTTTGAAAAATTTGTGCAATAATAAAATAATATTTCAAATCTTGTGTTTCATGTCCTAAGAGCAATAAAAAACACAGGAAAAAAAATCCCGACTGAGGTTATTATCATAATTCATGCAGGAAAGGGATAAAAACATCCATCCTGCTAGAGTGCTCTTGATCTCCTCTTCACTGATTTTGGGATTTTTGAATTGCAAACTTCATTTCCCAGTGTCCTTTGCCTGTGCTCTTGAGTGTTGTGATAACATTCAGCTTTGTCTTATCTTGATAATGTTTCTCTATATTAGCCCTTGTGCTTCCTGAGTTTCTTTGGTCTTTTCTTTTGTAGGATGTTGTTGCTGACTTTCAGTTCTGCCCCCTGATTATCTGGATTTTCCTGTAGACCTATTTGGTTGTTTTGCTTATTTGCTATTATTCTATGAAATTTTCTCTGCACTTGGATCCTGCCTTGTGTTGGCTTGCCTGCCAAGATTTATCATCACAGGGATACAGTACATAACATTTTCTCTCAGAGAGCTCAACGTAACAAATAGGCTTACTGTTAAAATGTTATGTACTGTATCCCTGTGATGAATCCCTTCGATTTGATCATAACTTGTCGAATAAAATCACCAGAATCATTCACTGGATTCACAATGCATGAAATTCCTCTTGTCAAAATTCTATGGATCAGCCTAAGCAATTCAAAATGAACCTGAAAGTCTGAAAATATGAGCTTGCATAAACATTTTCAAAGGGTAAATCAATTACATGATGTTATGTGGATGCATTCATTTTCTATTTATAGGAAAATGCATCTTTAAAAGGCCACTAGATGGCACTACCACTTGTAAAAAGCTTGAGATGAAGCACGCGCAGTGAGCTGAGCTGCAGAAGGATGAGGGCTGAGGTTGGTGTGACTTGGTCAACCGCAAGTCATTTGCACAATACGTCAAGCATGATCATGTGTCAGGACTCAGGAGCAAGCTCAGTCCTTTCGATCTCAAATCAGACCTCAACTCGACATGGCTAAAGAGGCTAGATCTTAGTATGTTGACTTGAGTGACTGAGACAGGAGAATATGGTTGGAAGAGCAATTATTACTAAAGATCATCAGCAGACCTAAATCTTGATTCTTTTCAACTCTTGTTCTCTATCTTTTTCAGTCAGGGTATATTCGTTAGCCTATTAATTCAGCCATTAACAATCAATATTTGACTGATACCTGTTTGCCTGAACTACTTTGAAATATTTTAACTGGTGCCCCGCCTCTTACTTCTCAAACCTCTTACTTTATGCCGCTCTATGGTATCATGCTGGGAACACAGAATGCGCTTTGCAAATTACCCATCGCTTGTTAGTAAATGGCGTGTACCACAGCTTGCTTTGCAGATTGCTAGATGTGATTGGCAAACAGTTTGGCAGAATATACCCTGACCTTTTTCCTCTCTCTTTTCATGTCGATTACAATCCTAAATAATGGACTTACTGAATCCCAGTTCACTCTCTCTATTGTTCATCATGCTATAGAGCATTTATAATTAATTTATCACTTTGCCTCTTCTTGTCTCTCTCCATCTAGTTTTCCTCTCTATCTCTCTCATTGCCTTCTGTTCTCCTTTCAGCATGAATCGTGTGCGAGTGTGTGACTTTAGCAAAGTGGATAGGCTCTCCAGTGACTGTGGGGTAATTATCCTTCATCACAAGTCATGCTCTGCTGCTTCCTGCCTGTTGGAGGCTGGGAGACAGGCCCATCAGTGCAACTGTTTCTGAGGCCTGTACAAGAGGGGATTCCAGATCACTGAAAGCTTGTCGATATACCAAGCTGACATGACATTCTCTCATTCTTGTTCTCAGTCATCCACTCAAAAACTGCGTTGGTCAGGGTTTGTTGGTGTCAATTGGGGCAGTTATTTTTCATCAAATTCTAAATCCAACTGCCAAATTGTTTGTTGGTGTTTGTCTGTGCGGTGTAGATTGGCCTTTAGATGGCGAAGTTTGTGAAACATTGGCAACAAATTATTAGCGGTTTGATAATGTAGTCAAGCAAAGGGCTAATCATATTAATTACTGTTTTGTGCCTGACGTTGTAGAGAGCGATTCATAAAACACATTACCATCCTGACATCGACTTAGATGAGGCTCAATTGCATATTCATGGACCCACGTATACTAAAACAAGAAAGCTATTTTAAGGCATGAATTAATATTTTTCACTGGGATAAAACTTTTAAATATGCCATTTTGGTAATCAAAGATTAGGTTTCAGATTCACATTTGATTTGATTGAGAAGTTAGTTCATTAATACAGAGTTACAGGCAAATCATGCTCCTCATTACCATGGTTATGTTTTAAAAAAATAATTATATAATAAGAAACTATATGTCTTATTGAAAAACATAAACTGCAAGTGCCGTTTCCTCACACTTTTGGAGTATGCATTTGACTTCTCTATGAGCTGCTGTAAGACTGGAAAACTGGAACTGGTTGATGGAATCAATCTGACCAGTGTCCTCTGAAGACAAAAGGACCTTGCTTGCAAATTAACATGTGAACAACACACACACACATGCAGAGATCACTCACACAGGAATATATATGGTTTTAATGTGAATGTGATAATCTTTAAGGATTGTTTAGAATCATTTTAAAAGTCTCAGGGTGACTGGTAATAATGTCTCATTTCCAAAGAAGTAAATCAAAAGGTAATAAAGTTCTCAAGAATATAGAAATATCTTGCACACAGAAGGGATGTGTCTCTGAGTCAACACCTTCTGAGATTGTCTGAATGCTAATTTCCACTGTTCTTAACAGATGGCCAAAAGTTCTACCCCCATGTAAGTATGTTGGGGGAATACAGTAACTTTTCATAGTAACCTGATGATTTACATTTCAGGTAAGGTCTGGCTATATAAGGAAATGCAACGGAGAGTTCAGGGCTGCTTTTTATGTATCAGATCAGCCCCTGATGCTGTGCCGTTGAGACCCAGCATTCATGTATCTTAATGTCGGGTAAAAGATCCCTCTTTGTTTTAAAACACTTGATAGTTTGCATTGATTATCTTTCAATTGATTGTGGAATTGTAATAATACATTTACCTGACATAATAAATTGTTATATTTGATTATTCTAACAGACTTTGACTTCATTTTCATTAGAGTTAAAGGAATAGTCAAACACTAATGGCATGTGTATTTAAAGATGCACAGAAACCATTGTTAAACCTTTTTCATTTTATGGAGTCAGATGAAACGAGTTAATACATAAGATGAAATGTGTTGCATTTAATTAAAAATCACTTTGCCATGGGAAAGACGGAACACGCGTGACACCTTCGCCTCAAATCGAACACCGTCTTTGGATCGATTTTGTGGCCTTTACACTGCAAATAAAAAACAGCACTTAATATCGAGGTCTCCCTTTCGCCCACTATTCGACAAGCCCAACGGGAAAGTCCTGGTGCTCCTGATAGCCAGTACATGTGTAACAGGCATTTAGACCTGTTCAATCTCATCCACTGAAGGGATGTCTATTGAGTCAGGAAAGAAATCAAGAGGCGTTTCTGAGCAATTTGACAATCATACTTAGCAAACTGCTTGGGAGCCATTGTGGCTTTTATAGCTGTTTTCTCATTACAAAAGCCATTTGTGCCAGGCTATGTGAGAGGAAAACAACAAAGCAACAAGCAGAATGAGGAGAGGTGGGGGTGAAACTTAAAGAGGAGGCGGAAATAATAATGACTTCAGCTTCACATCGGTTAATAGAACCGTAAGGAGCATGCATGCTCCTGAGTCAGCATGTAGGACCTGCTGAAGTGAGCTTAAATCTCTTGGTGGACATCCAAGGCTAATTTAAATGGCTCGGGCGGCTGTTGGCAGCTCAATGACTGCCTGTCTCACCAAATGCTGTGCCTGACAGAAGCTACAGGCCTGAGTGATGCTGTCAGGGGACCCTTGAACTTACACTGCACTGTACCACAAAGCTCAATCGGCTAGTTGGACTAATGAGTTATTTAGTTTTAATGATGCCATAAACACAATACTAATTACGAGTTGATTCATAATTTTAAAATATGATGAAGGCGAGACATTCATCAAGAATGTCTTCATGGTATCGTTTCGTTTGCAGGGAAGAAAAGCTATTTTATCGCATTCCAACAAATGACAACCAAAATCAAATCCATAGAAGCATGTGAACAGTTTTGAAGTGGTTGTGTGCACGTTCTGCTAATTCACAAGCCAAGTAAGAATCATACTCACAAATGTTAAAATACAAAACTCAGCAATGTGATGTTACTGAGCAATAGGCAGTGGGTTTAATCAGTGACATAGTTACTAGATTTGATTTCCGGCATCATACCGTCACCCACTCAACCTGCTTCTATTAGTGTTTTTACACATCAAAAAGGTGAAAAAGCATATTTATGAAGGTAATATGATGTCATACATTTAATGTACACATACTGTACATGTTACATAAATAAATAAAT